CCCCTTTGGGGTGCTTGTTTTAGGTGAGTCCCCTTGCCTCTCACAATTTGGTATGATTGTCTTATCTGTTTGAAATTAATTTAATTTAATAAGTGCTCAAATTGGCGACCTTCGACTTCAATGCACTTATTGATCCGAACTTCCATAGATCGTACACAACTGCGGAGTACATCAGGTGATATTTTGGCACAAGCATTTCGGATTCGTTGCATCATATTTTCACGAGATGATGGCACTTCTTTGTAAACTTCGCTCTTTATGTAACCCCATAAATAAAAGTCTGGAGACGTAAGGTCTGGAGATCTTGCTGGTCAATTTACTGGACCCCCTCTACCGATCCAGCGTCCATTGAATTCGCGATCCAAAACTTCACGAGCAGTTCGGGAGTAATGCGATGGACATCCATCGTGTTGAAACCACATTTGTTGTCTTACATTTAAGGGTACGTCCTCAAGTAAAAGCGGAAGTTGATTTTGTAAAAAATTACGATATGTTTCGCCGTTTAAATTGCCTTCAATGAAGTATGGACCTACTATCTTGTCACCAACTATTCCACACCAAACGTTCACAGACCATTGACGCTGATGCTCAACTTCACGTAACCAATGTGGATTTTAAATACTCCAGTAGTGCATGTTATGTCTATTAACCGTGCCGTGGTTCGTAAAAGAAGACTCGTCTGAAAATAGGACTTTAGCAAAGAAATTAGGATCTTGTTGTATTTGTTGACATGCCCATTGGCAAAAGATAACTCGGTTCTGAAAATCATTATCATGAAGTTCTTGGTGCAACGAAATGTGATAGGGATGATATTTATAACGTTTTAATATCCTGCCTACACTACGTCGCGAAATTCCAGAATCGCGTGCAATTTGTCGAGTACTGACATGAGGGTCAACATTTACTGCAGCTAATACAGCAATTTCATTGTCAGTTCCAGTAACTAGGTTTCGACGGGCTCTTTTTCTCTTAGACACACTTCCCTCTTGTAGAAATTGTGTAACAACCCGATAAAAAGATGCTCGAGATCGCACGTTATCCGGAAAACGTTCAGCATAAAGTGTAACGGCATCGTCAACATTTCTACCACATTCACCATAAATAAGAATCATTTCTATCTTCTCTTCTACAGAAACAGCCTCCATTTTAAAAAAAGTTTTGCACTGACAAAATTTGAAAAGATAATCTGATTTCAGAAATAAATTAGGATAAATGAAATGGGGTAAATATCCCCTATATTAAATTTAAAAACTCACGAAAAAAGAAAACGAAAATACAAAAAAATGTCAATTATGCCTTTTCAAAGTAATCCGTTAAATCTTTTTCTAGTTTATTAAGTTTAGATTAAAAATCACCACCCCATGAAAAAGTAGTCTGTACTTTACATGTGATATATGCTATCCAAAGTGTTTTGGCCTCCTGGACACAACCCCAACAAAGTACTCCGTTATCTCAAAATTTTTGTGTTTTTTTGTTTTTTATGGCCAAAATATGGGTTAAATCGAAAAAATAATAAGAACAAAAAATATTTTTCTTTCGATTTCCAATCGAAATCCGCGGCAAAAAATGGGTGTTTCCCTTTAAAAAACGAATTCTGATCAAAAAACGCCACTTCTGGTCTTGACCGGAAGTTGTAATATGGACCTTTCGATAGCCTCTTTAATGCCCTACAACTTTTGTCTAAAACTTTTTTCAAAATAATCGACTCCAATCGAGATATTNACGGGCACTTGTGGAACGCATGGTAGCTGTAACATAATAAATGAATAAACTTATTAAAATACAACATTTACCAATTACATCACACTAATTTTAACAGAGCGTAGTAAAATAAACGAGCTTTTGCTTATTTCTTTTCATATGATTGGAAATAAATGTGAAATTCCTCGTAGGTTATACGCGATTGCGTCTTGCGCAACGTTGCGTCATTCAACCCTATCTCATCGCGTCTGATACACGTTTAATGTTAATATTAAGATATTTATGAAATACATATTTAATTTATTATAATATTACACAACAATCCGGTTTAAAATAAGTTCAATGTTGTGCGCAGTGTTATATTAAAGTTATCTTTCCTTATATATCCGTATTCTCGATACTTCACGGAACTATGAAAAAATGAATAGTGGAATATATACACTTATTAAATTGAAGTTGAGTCACTCTGTTTCTTTATATATTACAACCCTTTTATATTACTGATAATTTGTACTCACTTACTAACACGTAGTTTATCGCTTAACTGATATATATATTTCATCTAACTGGGCGCTTCAATTAATTCGTTTTAATGCCTGTGTCAATGGAGCTCGATGTACTAACTTCTTAAAATACAAGAAGTTGGATTGGCCTGAGAATTACGAACCCTTATATTGTGGGTTTCTATTTCTTTTCTTTTATTTTTTTTTTTTCGCATGAGTATGTATAGTATTTCTTGAGAAAGTTTTCTTTCCATTTACTTAGTTATCGATGCACAGATTTTTAAAGTTGTAGCAATTAGATGGTGAATTATCAACGTATAAAAATTTCGCGTAACATGTGAAAGTAATAACACGGATCAACACAAAAAAATCTGCGTGTATAAGGTAGGATTACCCGCCAGCACCGTAGTCCTAAACTCGTGTAGGGTTTCCCTATCCTCGATGCCCGTCAATATGCAGCGCATCAATTAAAAGGATTAAATATTGCTAGGTGAGCACACCAATTTAGAGACAAAAAACATCCCTGGAATTTCAAATTAAATTAGAATTAATTAATAAGTTATCGGTTTTAGGTATCTGATATTCAAGGGTCAATTCGTATCAAAACCACTTCCTGAATAAAAAATGGGAAACATATCACGGCATACAAAGTGACACTGCTAAGGCATTTGCTAAAACATCTCATCTCCTCAATAGTCTCCTTAAAGATGTGCGACGCACAACCACAACCCGACGGTATAAACGTAGTGCCAGAGGTGTTATAATATTTACAATATTTATAACACCGTGATATATAAATAGTGATATTATTTTCGGTTATAGAACACTAGTGCGCCAACATCACCAATCCCTATTAAGACCACCAAACGTTGTCTCCGTGGCAAGCAAATAGAAGTCTATAGCATAGATCTGACCAAAGGAGATTTAGAAAACCTCACTACTGCCGAGATAACTCTCGAGAAATGCAAACCAATTACACACCGTAATGTGGGCGAGCAGGGTCCAAGTGGGAAAACGGTGAGCACAAATTATTATCCTCCGCTTTACACAATCCACGTTCTCGCAACCCTACTGCTATCTTACCCTATCCTCAATTTACATAGGACTCAACACCGAACCAGAGGTCTCAAGGAGAAGAGCTAGCCACTATCAACAAGGGAGACAAAACCTCTCCACCCCGTGTCACCGAAGAACCACCAGGAAGCGAGGAGGAATCCAGAATTCAGGTGCGGTTCGTCAAATCTCGTAGCACTGCGAGCATAAAAGTGTCTCAGTGCAAAGTCACCGTAATAGAGGTATTCAAACGTAATATAAGACTCTGTAAAGTTACAGGGCTCAGTTCAAATGATCCGAATACGTACCCTGCCAGCACTATACGTGACAGAGACGTGCTATCTTGGTCACAAAGTCACAAAAATATGATACGTCTTTCGCACGTTACCGCAACGTAACGTACAAATAAAATTTAATTAGCTATTTATCTGATTTCCTGTAGTTTATAATTGTTACTTTGAAAATGCTCGCGAGCGATTCCGGCGGTAAAATGTGGAAAGTGAAAGGCCGTCAGTGAAAAGAACGGTTGACTCTGAATGACAAAGACAGACTTTATTAAAGTCAAAATTAAAAGGTTACAAGTGTCCAGTGCGGTGATGACGCCACAATGTGAAGAGACGAGCAGTGCAATGAAGCGAAGCGGTCGCCGTGCGCGGATTCGCGAGAATACGTGCGGGAAATCAAAGTCCGAAAGAGATAGCGGTCGTCGTGTGCGGTTTGATCTGCGGATTTGCCGAAAGAATAGAGAAATGTCCAAAAGAATAGCGGTCGTTTGAATATAGCGGTGTAACAAGCGGTCGAATAATGAGTACGGAGCGTAAAGTGCGAGACTTCTCCGTGCCCTCTCGCTGGGCTCATTATATACCAGGCGGATTTTGGGCCCCGTTGCGACGTGGCCCAATTAACTTCAAAATTTGGCGGTGACCTCATGGCGCCGCGCATAATTGGCCGCCGATGAGGTCAGGAAATAGCGTTGCGGCGTTTGCCATGCGCACGACCTTTTTCGATCAGCTGATTGGCCATCAGCTGATCGTGACGTATGGGCGCGCATGCCCGACTGTTGCGCGGATTTTGGCGGCGGTTGACAATGTTATTGTCAATTGTTTTTACCGAGCGTTTCTTTGGCACCGAAAAAAATGAGAGACAACTCGAACGGTCGGGTTTTTTGCCGAAAATAGAATTTCGAGACGTTTCTCGATTCCCGTTGAATTCGGATTTTATAATAGATAAATGCGGATGTTGTTTCTTCGAATTTTTAGACCGCGACAATAATTACGGATTTCGAACATCCCGCCCGCCTCGTCATTACATGACGAAATTTGGGAGTGTGTGCGGATGCGGACAGGTGTCGCGTACTGTGCCATTGACGAGCTATCGATCGTGATGTATGAATGGAATGTGTGACGTAATGAGAAGACACGTGTCGAACAGTTTCGATTAATCTTTCGCGAGAATAAGTAATGCGGTATGGAGTGAAATTTTTACAGTGATGAAAGGAATGAAAAATCGTACATTGTGAAGTGCAATGATCGACGAAGGCTCCCGCAACGATAGTGAGTGAGTGATAGTGAGTGAGTGATAGTGAGTGAGTGATAATGAAAGTACACGGTGAAATCGCGGAGCGTGCGACAGACAGCTGACATAGAAAATATACATTATATACAAGCGCCGGGAAGCTCCTTATATTACATATGTACAAAGAAGCGCGAAAACGCTACGCAGGGAGAATAACGTTTGAGACTGCTACTCGTCCGCGGGCGTGTGGGCCTCCTTGACTCCCGGCAGGAGGACGAGCTTTACAATCGGCCGGACGAGTTCCGACGTGGACGTTCGGACGGTCACCACGCGGACAGTGCCGTCGCTTCCTGGGTGCAACCGGATGATACGCGCGAGAGGCCATCGGGCAGGTGGAGTTGACTCCGAGCGGATGAGGCACAAAGCTCCGACCTCCGGAGCGAGCTCGGCCTTGAGCCATTTTGGACGGGGTGCCAAGGCGTGGATGTACTCCTGGGACCATCGCTGCCAGAAGTGGTCGCGCATTCGCTGGAGGAGTTGCCACCGCGACAACATACTTGGTGAACGTTCGGCCGATGAAGGCTCTGGAATCGCCAGCAGAGGGGCGCCTATAAGAAGATGTCCTGGAGTCAGTGCGGACAGGTCGTCCGGATCGTCAGATAAGGCCTGCAACGGACGAGAGTTCAGACAAGCTTCGATTTGAGCCAGAAGAGTACTCATCTCCTCGAAGGTAAGCGTAGCTTCTCCTATCACCCGTCGCAGGTGATGTTTCGTCGACTTCACCGCCGCCTCCCAGAGTCCTCCAAAGTGCGGGGCGCTAGGCGGGTTGAAGCGCCAGGATATACCCTCTTTGGTGACTGCCTGAGAGATTCGACGGCCGTCGGGAGAAGATGCTCGGAAAAGTTCTCGGAGTTGTCTGTCTGCTCCGATAAAGTTCGTCCCGCAGTCTGAGTACATTTCCTCGCACAGTCCACGGCGGGAAACGAACCTGCGGAAGGCGGCGAGAAAAGCGTCTGAGGAGTAGTCAGACGCTACTTCAAGGTGGATCGCTCTGGAACAAAGGCAAACGAATACAGCTATGAACGCCTTATGCGCTCGATGTCCACGTCCTTTGGATGTACGGATGAATATCGGGCCAGCGTAATCGACTCCCGTTCTCAGGAAGGGACGAGCAGGAGTAACTCGCTCTCGAGGGAGGTCGCCCATGAGAGGCTGCGGAGTGCTGGCTCGCCAGCGGGTGCAAGTCACGCATCGGTGCAGGATCCGCTTGACCACGGCTCGACCCTGCGGAACCCAGAAGCGGAGGCGGAGGAGCCCCAGAGTGAGCTGCGTGCCTCCATGCAGCGTCCGGCGGTGGCAGGATTCCACCATGAGCTTAGTGAGCCATGAAGTGGGCGGTGCTATCATGGGGTGTCGTTCATCGAAGGTCAGTATGGCGTGTTTCAGGCGACCACCGACACGCAGGACTCCCTTGTCGTCGATGAAGGGGTGCAGCCTGGCCAGGTGACTGCCGTGAGGCATTGAGCGAGACTCACGTACGGCGGCGAGCTCGGCAGGGTAGTGGACTCCCTGGACGACCCTGAGCCAACGGAGTAGAGCGGAGTCGAGTTCGTCCGGGAGCAGTGCAGTGCTGGGAGAACGGCGAGGAGTTCGGCGCCAACGAAGGCACCAGGCAGAGACACGTAAGAGTCTATGCAGCGTTGAGAACTGGAGGAGGATTTCCGGCTCCGGTCTGTCCTTGCTGGTGGCGACTAATACCGTCATTCTCTTTTCAGGAACGTTTTCCATCGATGTCTGGTCGTGGCTGTCCGGCCATAGCGACTGACCCTTGAGCAGCCAGGCCGGGCCATTCCACCAGAGGGAGTGGTTCAACAGGTCCCTCGGTGCGATCCCTCTGGACGCACAATCGGCGGGATTCTCTTGGCCAGGCACGTGCCTCCATTGAGCTTCGGGGAGCCGCTGCTGGATCAGTGACACTCGGTTGGCCACGTAGGTTTTCCACCGAGACGCGTGGCCCTTGATCCAGTGAAGGACGACTCGGGAGTCGGACCAGAGATATACGGGCGCCGATGGTAGGTCGAGTGAAGACCGGAGGTGCCGTACAAGACCCGTCAGCAAGGATGCAGCGCAAAGTTCTAGCCGTGGGAGCGTCACGGGTTTTATTGGCGCGACCTTGCTTTTAGCCGCCAGCAGGTGAATGGACGTCTCGTCGGCACTCTTCACGCGAAGGTAGACGACCGCCGCGAAACCACGCTCGGACGCGTCGGCGAATCCGTGGATTTCGATCTACGTGCCCTGGTGGACAGTGCCCAGCCAGCGCCTTATTCGGAGGCGCTCCAGTAAATGGAGTTCGGAGAGGAGGCGCCGCCAGGACTGCGCGTCCTCAATTGGGAGCGGAGTGTCCCAATCCAGCCCTTTCAACCACGCTGATTGGATCAGTATCTTGGCACGGATAATAACAGGGGCGAGCCACCCCAAGGGATCGAATAACCGCGCCGTTTCCGCTAGGACTTGCCTCTTCGTGTACCCCCCAGAGGCTCGAGGCCGGATCGCGAAAGAGAATTCGTCACTGGCGGGATGCCAGCGCAGGCCTAAGGTGGAGTGCACCTCGTTCTCCCAGGAGTGGTGCGCCTGCTGGAGTCGATGATCCGGAGGAACTCCCTCCAGGATTGTCTCGCTATTGGCGGCCCATTTCCGCAGCGGAAACCCGCCCGCCGTGCAAAGCTCTCGGAGTTCCGTCTGCAAGGCGACCGCATCGTGCAAGGTGTCTGATCCCGTAATTACATCATCCATGTAACAGTCACGGCGCAGAGCGGCTGCCCCCTTCGGGCCCCGCGCTTCTTCGTCGGCTGCTAATTGGCGAAGTGTGCGGACGGCGAGGAACGGAGCGCAGGCGAGCCCGTAGGTCACGGTGTTCAGCTCGAATTCTTGGACCTTGTCGGAAGCCCCTGAGTGCCAGAGTATCCGCTGGAAGCGGCGATCTTCCGGATGGACGAGTATTTGCCGGAACATCTTTTCGATATCGGTGACGAATACGAAGCGGTGCCGGCGCCAGCGGAGAAGGACGTCAGCTAATGCTGGCAGTAAGTTGGCGCCGATAAACAGATGCTGGTTGAGGGAGTCTCCGGAGCTGGTGCGTTGTGACCCGTTGAAGACAACGCGGAGCTTAGTACTGGAGCTGGACTGGCGGAGGATTCCATGGTGAGGCAAGTAACATTCAGCGTTGCCGACCGTATGCACAGGACTCATATGTTTCAGGTCCTCATATTCCTGCATGAATTCTCGATACCGAACTCCGAATTCAGGATCTTTCTTGCACCGACGATCCATAGCGTTCAAGAGGCTTCCGGCTGGTTTTCGCGTCTCATCCAGTGACGTTGGCAGGGAAGAAAATGGGAGACGTACGACGTATCTTCCTGAGGCTGTCCGCTGGTGAGTAAGAGTGAAGAAGGTTTCACACTCCTCTTCCTCTGGCGTGGGTGCAACCGGGGGAGACGATTCTCTCTCCTGTTCCCAAAAGTTGTGCACAAGCTGATTTAATTCTTGATCCACAGTGCACTGCAGGGAGCTGCGGAGACCTTGGAAGGACGCCGAGCGGGACCCTCCTGACAGAATCCATCCCAAGGCAGTTTTTTGGGCGAGGGGTTCTTGGGGACCACCCTTGCGAAGGCCGACTTCCAGGATGATCGAGTAAACTTCGGCGCCCAACAATAACTCGACCGGGTCGCGCTCCTGATACCTGGGGTCGGCGAGTTCAAGACCACGGGCATGAGGCCAGGAGGCGAGGTTGGTTACCGCCGGACCCTGATACGCCGACAGGCGGGGTAGCACGAAGGCGACGGCCTTAAGCTTGGCTCCTGTGATCGGCGAGGAGAGATCGAGCGACACCCTGCCGCGGGTTGACCCGGATCGAGCTCCGCCGATGCCGATGATTGACACTGAGGAGCTGGAGCGGGGAAGCCTCAGGCGCTGGACCAGCGCCTCGGAGATGATTGACACCTCGGAGCCTTGATCGAGCATCGCTCGAACTGGATGAAGATCCCCGGAGCGATCAGTGATGTGCACACGGGCGGTCGCGAGGAGGATCGCCTTGCGGTCAGATGCGGAGTGCATCGCGGATAGAGCGGTTGCTTCGTTGGACGAGGACGAAACATACGCGTCGTGCAGCGTAGTGTGGTGCTTGTTCTTGCACGTCAGACAGGTCCTTACAGACTGACATTTGGAAATTAAGTGATTCCCGAGGCAGTTATAGCACAGTCTGCCCTGTTCCACAAAGGACCTTCGGTCAATCGCAGGCTTGGCCTTGAATTCGTTACAGTGCATGAGCGCGTGCTTTCCCTGACACAGTGCGCACTTCAAGTGGTCGGATCCGGTCTTCGCGTGGTGGGCCTTTGCGGTTCGCGACGGACTTTCGGAGCTCTTCAGCGGTGATCTCGGCTTGGCGGCATTTAGTGTAAGAATGCGCTTGGCGATGAAGTCGACAAGAGTGTCGTGATCCGGCGGATCAGCGGAGTCGCAGGTAGAGGACTCCCATTCCATCCGTGTACGCGAGTCAAAAAGCTCGATAGCGAGGAAATTAAGGAGATCCATGCCATGGGAGTTGATGGGCCTCCCTATACTCTCCTGTGCGTTTACCGCGGTCGTAACGGCGTTATGGATGCGACCGAGTTCCTCCGCGGATTCGCATTTCATTTTGGGAACCGAGGTGAACGCAGCGAAATTAGAACGGATGAGCTCTCTTTTATTCTCGAAGTGTTTGCACAGAACCGACCAAGCGCGATGATAATTGTCACCGGTCACTGTTAATGACTTGATTAATTTTTCAGCGGCCCCTTTGACGCAAGACCGGAGGTAGTGAAAACGCTCGATGTCGGAGACTGACGCATTCCCCCCGATAACCGATAGGAAGAGATCGCGGAAGGACGGCCACTCCTCGTACGATCCCGAAAACGTCGGAAGCTTGATGCGTGGCAGCGAGGTTTTAGGAGCCTGTTCCTGATTCGGCTCGCCTTTAGCCTCAACGGACGCCTCGCCCTTGAGCTTTTCCGCGTAGCCGGTCAACGTGCTACGTTGCGTCACGTAAGTATTCTCCGCGACTTCGATAAAATTGGATACAGCGTACTCACTGTCCTGATACCGGTCTTTCAGCGCTGCTCGAACGAGCTCATGCTGGGCCTCCATTTTCTGCCAGAGGTTGTCCAGGATACTGATGCGGGCTTGGATGGCGTCGCGGGTGATGTTGCTCACGCCCATCTTCCGAAGATTGTCCACGGCGCGGGAGATCCGACCGTGGATGTCGTGCTGTGCCTCCAGCAATACCTTAACGTCTGTACTCATGCTCAATGTTCTTCTTGTGTTTTCAGAGTTCACTGCACGCCACAAACTGCACGACACTGAGAGGATCACTCACGAAACAGCGGACGCGGATGATGATAATACTCCGGCTCGAAGGACCAGAAATGCTCGCGAGCGATTCCGGCGGTAAAATGTGGAAAGTGAAAGATTGACGACAAGAAGCGCGTTGTCAAGAGGTTGTTGACAGCAGCGTCTGTCATTTGAGTTCGGTTCCTACGGTTTTGTTTTGGGGGCTCGTCCGAGATAGAACGGACTCCGCGGTAATTCCTTCCGAGCAACGTTTCTGTGCCAAAAAGACGGAGAGATGGCTACCAATTTCGAGCTGCAAGAACCAGCGACAGACGTCTCTACGCGCAAGAGGATCCGTGCGGCGACCCCGCTTCCTTCTTCGGGACCGTCGTTGGAGGCGACCACGCTCCAGGCTGCGATGCGGGAGATCCGCGAGCTGCGAGAGGAGCGTCGGCAAATGCGCGCTGAATTCGAGGCGCAGCTCTGGGAGAGGGACGGCAAGCTCCGTCGTCTGGAGGAGAGCCTACAGCGAGAGCGTCAACCACTCCACCTTCCGCGAGCGTCAACCACTCCTTAGCTCCACAGCTAAGTCCTTCCAATAATAGAGCGCGCGACGCGGACTTACATTCACTCGAGCTCGGTTTTAAACTCAAACCCGACAACTACGACGGAAGTGCTCCCTTGCACGAATTTTTTGAATTCGAATTGATTGCGCGAGCTAACAGATGGAATGATTCCCACAAGACGGTAGCTCTAGCAGCTTGTCTAAGGGATAAAGCGCGTTTAGTTTTAGACGGGATATTTGAAATCGAGAATTTGAAATTCGAGGATTTAAAGTCGAAATTGGAATTACGATTTCAGGAGGGGCATTTGGTTCAGTCTTTTTATTCTCAATTCACTAATAGAAAACAGAAAATTTCGGAGGATTTGGCTATCCTGGGCGCGGATTTAGAAAGATTATCTCGACTCGCTTACCCCGAATGCTCCCACGAGATGAGGGATAAAATTGCTTGCGCGCAATTCATAGCCGCGTTGACGGACGGCTTTCTTAAGAGAACTTTACAGTTGGAAAATATTTCTTCCTTAAAAGTCGCGGTAGAAAGAGCGATGGCTGTGAAAGTCATCCAAGAAAATAGCTTTCCCAAGAACAAATTTAATAAATTGAATAGCAGATTTAATAACAAATTCGGCGGACAAAAGATTGGGGAGGTGAAAACAAACGAAAACGGTAAAGGGAGGTTAGAAAATAAGAATAATAGATTTCGGAAGAACAGCTTTGACTCGAAAAAGGAGTGTTGGCATTGCGGCGCTGAGGGGCACTTCCGATCAGAATGCCCGTCCTATGAGGAAAACAAGAATTAGTCGAACTTTTCGGGGCGGGTTCGATGGGGGGAATAAATGCCCCAGATGAAAAATATTTTAATTTAGGTAGGATTAAAGAAAATTCGTTTTTGTTTTGTTATAAAGGTTCGGTTGATCATAATAGCTGTAATTTTAAAATTGACACGGGCTCCGATGTCTCAGTTTTAAATAAAAACCTGGTTAAAGTGCCAGGACGGCGGTACGAGGTTAGGGGAAGCTTTATTAGATACCCGACGGGAGAGGTTGTTCCGGTTCTTTTTAGAGTCATTGTTTAAGTTAAATTAGGGAAGTTTTCTTTATACGTTTCGATGCTAGTTGCAGATATTTCAGATGATTGTATATTGGGAGTTGATTTCCTTCTAAAGCTGAATTTGAAAAAAATTTTCGATCCTTTTTTTGGTTATCCAGAAAAGGCCCTTGAATTCCTCTGTAAACGAATAATTTCAGAAGTCCCGTGTTCTTTGAAAACTTTATTTGAAGAAAATTCTAAAGACCTAAATTCTGTCCAAAAGGATCTTTTTGTTGAATTCCTGAGGGAATTCCAAGATATATTTTCAGAGGATTTAACTTCGGGAAATTGTGAAATTTTAGAACATGTTATTAAATTAAAAGATTTTAATCCCATCAAACAGGCTCCTCGCAGGATCCCTTTACATCTTAAAGAGGAGGTAAATCGAATAATTCGAGAAATGAAATCTCAGGATGTCATTGAGGAGTCGCAAAGCCCATGGACATCTCCTGTAGTCCTTGTAAAGAAAAAGGATGGATCATTGAGATTTTGTGTGGATTTTCGGAAATTGAATGCTGTTACCATCAAGGATTCCTATCCCCTTCCATGTATTGAGGATATTTTGGATCAGTTGTCTGGAAATTCTTGATTTTCGACCCTAGAAAAGTGGATATTGGCAGGTAAAAGTTCATCCTTTGGATAGGGAAAAGACAGCGTTTTCCGTAGGAAATGGATTATGGCAATTCAAGGTAATGCCTTTCGGTTTATGTAATGCTCCAGCAACCTTTGAGCGTTTAATGGAAAAAGTGCTGCAGAACATCCTGTTTAAAATTTATTTAGTATATCTGGACGATATTATTGTTTTCAATAAAACTTTCGAAGAGATGCTATCGAATCTAAGAGAGGTTTTTCTTCGCTTTCGTTCAGCGGGCCTGAGAATCAATCCTAAAAAGTGTTCCCTCTTTGGTAGAAGGGTGAAGTATTTGGGACATGTTGTTTCTGGACAAGGTATTGCTACGGACCCCGAGAAAATTTCGACGGTAGAAAATTGGCCTAT